GAGAAGATCAATATCATCAGTCAGAACAAGACCAGAGGCTGAGTGTAGACCAGACCATTAATTGCTCATATGTGAGTTTAAACTGAAGAAAATTAAGTCAAGTTCATGAGAGCCAAGGTAAAACCTTAAGCATATACCACCTGGATTTTTAGAGACCATATCAAGAATAGATTTGGTACACTGAACACTAATAATCGAAGACCAGATGAGTTGTAGGAAGATGTCAAGAACATCATACATGAAGAAAGCAAAAGGTTATTAAAAAGGAAAGAAAGAAAAGAGTAAAGTGGATGTCAGAAGACATTGAAATTTGCTTTTGAAAGTAAATTAGCTAAAGTAAATCAAAGAAATGTTTTTGGAAAAAGTAGAGTAGTACAAGAGGTGTACAGAAGGTTTTAAAGGGCAGCTCAAGACAAAGTATTACAATGAAATGTTCAAGGACCTAGTGTTAGAAAACCACATGATGTAACTTGGAGCATTTACTTCCAAGATGGCTGCCTTACATGGCTATTGGCAGGAGGCCTCACTGTTTACCACATGAGCCTCTAAGCAGCTGCCTGAGTATCCTCATGGCATGTCAGCTAGCTTCCTCTGAAATTAGTGATTCAAGAAAAGTGGTAAGCCTCAAAAACAATCAAGTACTTCAAAATAAATTTAACCCAGGATGTATAAGATTTGTACATTGAAAACTATGAGAACACTTGAAAAAGTTTGTGAGAAGGTAGAACTAAAATGTGATGGAATTTTTTAGTCCCCTTGTAAAAACATTGTTGAAATGAAGACTTAACTAAATAGGGAAACATTTCATGTTCATGGATTGGAAGACAATATTGCTAAGATGGAGTCCTGGTGTGGTGCTGTAGGATAAACACTAGACTACTAACTCCAAGGTCTGTGGTTCAAACCCACCAGCCGCTTCTTTGAAAGGTCACTATGAGTTTGAACTGACTTGATGGCACTTAACAAAAACCATTATCAAGAGGGCACTACCCCTCCCTCTTGATCTACAGATTCAATGCAATCCCTATCAAAATTCCAATTGCCTTTTTTTGTAGAGATGAATAAGATGACCCTGAAATTTTTTTGGAAATGTAAGGGACCCTGAATAGCCAAGACAATCATTAAAAAGAATAAAATTGGAGGACTCAACAGTTTTCAATTTGAAAACTTACTAGAAAATCAAAGTAATCAGCACAATGGGGTACTGGAATTCAGATAGACATAAAAGTCAATGGACTAGAATTGGAAGGTCATAACTCATCTATGATCAATTGATTTTTTTACAAGGGTACTAAGACCATTCAATGGAGGATAAATCATCTTTTCAAGAACTGGTACTAGGACAGTTTGATAGCCATATTTAAAAATTATTTTGGACCCCTACTTCACACCATATACAAAAGTTTACTCAAAGTGGATCAAGGCCTAAATAAATATAAAAGCTAAAACTACAAAACTTTTAGAAGGAAACAGGTATAAATCTTTGAGACCATGGATTAGACCACAATTTCCTAAATATGTCACCAAAAGCACAAGTAACAAAAGAGAAAATAGGTTAAGTTGGAACACATCAAAATTTAAAACTGCATCAAATGGCACTTTTGTCAAGAAAATGAAAAGACACCGATAGAATGAGAAAGTATTTGCAGATCATATATCTTCTAAGGCTCTAGTATTCAGAATATACAAGGAATTTTTAAAACAACACTGAAAGGAAAAACAATTAGTAAAGAATGGGGAAAGGATTTGAACAGACATTTATCTAAAGATGACATACAAATGGCCAATAGGCATATTGAAAGATGTTCAACATCCTTAGTCCCTAGGGAAATGTAAATCAAAGTGACAATGAGATACCCCTTTACATCCAGTTGTTAAGTGCAGTTTAGTTCTGACTCAGCAACTCTGTATTGTGTTTCTGAGATTGTAAATCTTTATGGGAGCAGAAAGTCTCTTTCCCTCCGAACAGCTGGTAGGCTCAAACCACCAACCTTGTGGT